GTTTTAATAAAAATGGGCAAAAATCATAAATAATTAACAAAGTGCCATGTAAAATCCAAATTTTTACAGCACGACCATTTGTTATTATTTTTTAATTCTTTTGGAGCGATTGTCGCGTAAGACAAAAATCACGTGCTCACAATGCTAAGTCCTTAAATTATATTCATTCTTTGATTTGAGAGTATGGACTATATTATTGTTGTGAGGGCACTTGTTTCATGATAGATAAGTGGAGTATGGACTATATTATTGTTGTGAGGGCACTTGTTTCATGATAGATAAGTGGAGTATGGACTATATTATTGTTGTGAGGGCACTTGTTTCATGATAGATAAGTGATGTTATTAGCTTCTTTGACAGAGCAGGTGAACGAGCTTAAATTTGGTAAGTTAGAGTCCGTCTCTGAGGTTAGAAGGTTAGAAGTTTGTTGTTTGTTTGTGACTTGTATATCTTGCATGATGATGAGGAAGTGTATATCTAATGGTTTGAGTTGCTATAGGGCCTAATTGTTAATACCAACCGAAGTGGTGATATTTCTATGCTTGATTTATTGAGAATGATTTTAATGCTTACTCGAGGACGAAGCAAGAGTCTAAGTGTGAGGTGTTGTTGTTCGGCAAAAAATACATATATTTACCCATTGTTATCTCATATTCTAGTACTTTTAATCATCTTTTGAGTGTTAATTATATTACTTTGTGCTTAATATTATACTCTAATTGTGTAGGAATAAAGCGGTATGAAGATGAAGAAATTTGGAGCAAAGTTAAATAAAACACGAAAAACAAAAATGAATAAAAAAAGGGGGGACACCCTTTTGTTTTTTTTGTCCCCCAATTTGAAGACAAGAACAAAGGATACAATTGAAATACAAATGAAGGCAAAAAACGCACCTGGGAAAGACAATCTAAAGAGCAGGCGGCAAATTCACTGTTCTCAGCGCCACGTCCAGCGCTAGGCGCGGGCCTGGACGCCAGGGCGGAGGGTTTTTTCTATTTTGCTCGGGACAAGGTTATTTCGGTCCTACATGATCCCAACTTGTATAAAAGGGGTCTTAAACCTAATTTGGAGGATATCGAACACACTTTGAAAGAGAATTCACGTGGGTCAACATACACCACGCTTGGGAGGCTTCTAACTAATTTTTCTTCTCTTCTCTTCCTTTAATTTCATAATTCATTAGTTCTAGAGTTTTGGGTGTTACATGAACATTGTGGTTTGAAGCTTGAATTGTTTTTATTATTTTATCATATTGGTTTATTTATTCAATCTTGCGCTTAATTATTTGATCGCTTGATCACCAATTGAATACTATCTACGAATCTAAGATTGAACTCGGAAGAGGGAATTCTAGATTGCATATAATATTGAGCAGAGCAAGATCTTAACTCTTAGGGAGGACGGATTTGCGGTTAGGATAGGAATATACTTAATCGCCTTGCTTGGTTACTATACAGGAATTATTAATGTGTTCTTGTTAATTCTAATTCAATAGGAATATAGGTGTTAGATTACCTTGAATAGGCGAGTTGTACTTCGGGAGAAGGATACGAGCAATATTAACTCCGTAAATCAATAAACTAGATAAATTAATTAGACGATTTAAATGGAAAACTCAATGGGATTGTTAGCTAACCCATAGCTCTAGAATATTCACTCACATTGGATTCGTCTTTATAATTCGCCAACTTGTTTTCTTTAACCTCCTAGTTTGTTTCTTTAGATTAGTTTTAGTTAAATATTCATACTTTAGAATTCGCTTGAATAGATTAATTGTTTGGGTTTAATTTAGTTGATAGTTAATCACAAGTCCCTGTGGGTACAATATCTGGACTTACAATCCTATATTACTTGTCGACCACGTATACTTGCGTGTGCGTTTGGGAGCAACAAACATCTCGTTAAAATCTTAGGACCTGTGGTTGTCCTACAGCTATGATGATATTATATTTCTCAAATTTGCTAAACATACATTCTAGGAATCAAGACGTACAATTTATAGACCATAATGTGAGCAAGTTAGCAATGGCTACACAGTTGAGGTCGTCAGTGGTAACTTTCCTATGAAGTCACAGTTGAGACTTCCCAAATATAGATGACCTTCATACTCCAGCACAGATGTCACAAATGACATGACCTTTCCAGTTGGATCATCAAAGCCTTTGATTATCTTCCCATCAGCTGCGACATTCACTACCATAGCTTTGTGGTATGCTCCAAGGACCCAGTTCATCAATTTGGGGAAAGTTGCCAGCAAATGTTTTGAAGCTCTTGACGAGTGTACAAAATTTAGTCTACGAGCTGTAAACTGTAACAGAGGCAGACACATCAGTCGTTAAATTGGCACAGCAGATGAACCTTCTCTGCTACTGAAAGATGTTTATAACTTACCTCTACTAGAGCTATCCAGAACGAACCATCTGGAGCAAGCTTGATGTTGTCGGGTAAACCAGTAAGATTATCGACGAAGATCTCTGTTTGTCCTTTGATTTCCTCCTTCAGCCAATACTTTAGGCACCTAAATCTGATTATCATGGACGAAAAGAATGTTGAATGCAACTTGAACAATCAACTTCACAAATTGGTTCCAGGTACCAAAAGAATGTGTTCATGAAGAAACCGTGCTAGTCAATGGATCGGAGAAGCATGTCTAAACATCTCATGAGCTCACCAAGTTATCTTATAGTTGGAGGTAGAAAATCATTTAATCATTCGAGAATACTTACTTCCACGTTTCACAGACAATTAAGTAATCTTGATCCGCAGAGAGAGCAACGCCATTTGCAAAGGCCAAGTCATGAAGAATTACAGAGGTCTTGTTCAATGAAGGATTATATTTGAGAAGCTGACCATGGGGCTTGGCCTCAAGCACGTCAAGGTACCATTCGTGGAGTCCAAATTTGGTGCTTGGGACACTGAAGTATAGACTCCCATCTGATGCTTCCACCACATCATCTGCAAATCTGTACACACTCTAACTTTTAGCTTGCAATGGATTTTCATTAAAATTTTATAATTGATGGACATAAGGATCCAGAGAAATTTTATAATGTTGCTGCTAACAGCATCATATAAACCATCCCTCAGGGCTTTGGTTCATTGGTGAGGACACAACACATAGATGTGTCAATTAATTAGGCGCAAGTCACAAGTTTAAACTCTGTCCCAGACAAAGCTGGGGGAGGACGGAAGAGTCGCATCTGGGCATAGTCACCTTTGCCTAACTACGCACTAATTTAATATTGTAACAGCAGTTCAAACTTTATGTCCCACGAGCATATTGTATTGTTCATATTATCTTGGATGCTATAAACAAATTACACAAATATCGTATGGTGATATTGTGAACTAATTCTTCCTTGCTCGTTAGGCATCGTTCATTTCCCGAAATTTTGTTGGATTGAAGTTACAGAATGGTACTTAATTTTTAAAAAATTCCTATTTTTTGAAATTATATCAACTCGAAAAAAAGGCCATGCTCCATCAAAGTATCATAAGATATATATTGCTCTTGGCCTCAATGGGCAGAGAATTTCAAGATAGAAAAGTGAAATCTTTTACCTTATTTTTTCACCATTGACGTGTGAAGCAAGAACACTTACGCCATCTTCACTAACCTTAAGCAACCCCTGCACATCATACAATTGTACCTATTAGAAACTTTAGGTGTGCTGCATACATATTGCCACGGAAAGACTATCTAAAATTTCTTAAAATCTATTAGGCAATCGTTACTTAGCCAAGCTATTCATTTAAGCTGCAAAATTAATTACCTCTTCAGCGTCACATACGATGACATGACCAGCAGCTGATACTATAAGTCCTAGTAAAGAATTACTCCCAATATACTTCCAACTCTCCCAAGTCCCATTCTTGTGCAATCTTTTGATCCAACCATCTCTAGTTGCTGTATATAAAACTCCCATTTTGTCCACTGCCACATCTTCTGGTCTATCCAGAAACCCTTCTCCAAGTTTACTTACCCTCTGAAATTAACAGTCCATATGTAGCATTTCGCATCACAGTTAAAAAAAAGAGTTCAAGTTTTACACACACAAAAATATAATATTACACACTCAGGTCACCTAATAGGTAATTATAGGTAAATCGTTTAAACATTAATTGGTAATCTCATAAATATATATGATAACTATCACATGCTATCACAAGTTAAAATTCATTGACAACAACAACAACAACAACAACAACAACGACCCAGTAAAATTTCACTAGTAGGGTCTGGGGAGGATAGTGTGTACGCAGACCTTAACCCTATCTCGAGGGGTAGAGAGGCTGTTTCCGAAAGGCCCTTGGCTCAAGAAGACGAAAAGAGACTTAAAATTCATAGACTGTGTATATAAATTAAATCCATAAAAAGATTGAGGCAAGTAAGAAAATATTAAGTTAAGGAACCTTTTTTTTTCTTTTAAGTTACCTGCAAATAGCTCTTTGATGTAAATGTAGCGGCAGAAGGAATTTCAAGAATCTCAGGGGATATTGGTGAGAAGAAAAAAACTTGGAGTGAAATAGCCAGCAAAATAACTACTAAAAAGCTTGAAAAAAACAGCATGGAATCCATAGTGTGTTTGCTCGAGACCTCTAGTGCAGTTTGCAGATGAGAGGCAAAGTTCAGTCCTTTATGCACTACATCTGATAAAAACAATTTCTTTGGTCCAAAATTACTATCAGCTAGCCACCAAGTTTGGAAAGTATTTGTGGCTGAAAATTGTCTATAGGGTAATTGCTATAATAATTATAAGTACCAAAAAGCACACTAATTTAGGCAGTTCTACTAGAGAAAAATGGAATATAGACACGTTTCTTGTTAATCAAGAGTTTAAAGAAGAAAACATTTGCTCATCTTTGTAACAGGGTATTTGGGAAAGAAAATATGCGTAACCAATATATTCAATCAATAACATACCCTTCCTCTTGCCCCTTTTCCCCTCCCGAAATGTAATAAAAAAATATTACTTCTAAAAAAGGCTCTTATATAAGCTACTAACTGATATTAAATATTGATTTAATTGAAGAAAAAGAAAGTATAACTTGCTATTTATTGGACTAATTAATAGTTAAAAAAAAAAAGAGATAGAGTAATAGATAGATCAACAGTATATTTTAGAGAGAAGGTCTGTCTTCTCTTTAAAACTAGCGATGATAGGTCCGTAATGGCACGGGCCAAGCACACTACTAAAATATTGAGTTGTGTTTTTTCCTGTTTTTTGGTGCCCTTACTCTTTTTTCACTTGTTGAGTAATTGAGATTTTGATGACTAACAAAGTTTGTTTAAATGCAATATTCGAAAAATCAAGTTCTCAATGTAGCTGCTTAACTGTTCTAAGAACCAGCTCCTCAAGGTAAAGGATCAGCTCCTCTAGTTGATGATTGTACGTCCGTGCAAGACAATAACTTTATCTTAAGGTTACTCAGGTCCAAGTTTGTTGGAAGAAGAATGCGCTATATGTGATAAGGGTTGTTGCCCAAGAAGATACGAATAAATCAATAAGAGACAATAGTCCCAAAACTTCTGGAGTCCTTGGAATAATAGGAGTCCTATCAAACGAGGAGCTGACTATGCATAGGACTCCTAGAAGATCTTGAAGTCCAGGCGTTTAAATACTATATATTTGGACTTCTGAGATTATCCTTATACACATCAACTGAAGAACTACATTTTGTTCACTCTAGTCAATACCAGTATTGCGTTCTTTTTGAGTCAGTCTAGTGAATGTGTTTTGGGAAATCGAGTTATAATCAAGTGCTGAGGCGGCTCGACATATTTTGTGGCCTAAAGCCAAACATTAATATGAGGCCTTTTCTTTTTTGAAAAATCTTTATACATAATTATTGAAGTCTATTTTTTAGCTTTTGAGATGCAAAATTATTAATTATTTATTATAATTGATTTTTTCTAATAATTCTTTTTTCAATTGATAATATAGTTAATCAGTTTATTAAGCTTTCTTAAGACATTGTTGATCTTAGTTAGAATTATTATTAATCTTAATTTTGAAAATTTTCTTTCGGTTGCGGCAATAATTAGAGAAATTAGTTAACATTAATACATGAGAAATATAGAATTTAGAAAATAATCAAGTTTTTGTCTAATTAAGTATATCAACTAAGGTATTATTTTTGACAACACTTCTCTGTTAATTTATTCATTGAATATCTTTATCAATTGTTTTACTATTTTTTTCTCATTTCTAAATCAATTCATTCATTCATATGAAACCTGATTTTATATTGATAATTTATTTGTCATGACCCGGAATTCCCACCTTCGGGACTGTGATATCGCTTAACATTTCACTTGTTAGGCAAGCCAACGTTAGAGGATCTTTAAGACAATTTTAACCAATTCGAATAAGTAAACCAATTAAATAGAAATGAAGTTCATAATACAGTGCGAAACAACGTAATAAACCAATATCTAATAAAACCCGGATTTGGAGTCACAGGTACACGAGCTTCTAGAATTTCTACGAATAGTAATTGAAATAAGTACAATTGTCTCGAATGAAAAGAACAGTAAATAGGGAAAAAGTGGAAGGGGACTTAAGGTCTGCGGACGCCAGCAGATCTACCTCGAGTCTACAAAAGCTAATTCGAGCTGAAACGCTTCACGGATAGCTGAGACCAGCACCAAAATCTGCACAAGAAGTGCATAGTGTAGTATGAGATAACCGATCCAATGTACTCCGTAAATGTCACAACCCCGGTTCGCCCTCTGTGAACCATCGTGACGAAACCTAGTCTCTACGACTAGTTAAGCCTAAAATGCGAAAGATAAACCAAATTTGCGGAAGAAAAGAAAATAATTTAAAACAGAAATAGTGTAATAAAACAGCATTTGGAAGTGCCACTCGGTATACACAATATCAACTCTCATAAACTAATACAGTTTTCCCAAAATCCGGAAACCCATGAATCACAAGCCAATGATACTACATAGTGCTCTAACTCCATAATAGTCTAAAACAAAGTAAATACAGAAAGGCTGTAACTACAAGAGAGAATGGAAAGAGACTCCTCGGTATGAGGACGCGGCAGATATACCTCGAAGTCTCTGAAGGGTCGCCTCGCCTCAAGGATGGTAAGTTTGAGTCGAAGTACCTGGATCTGCACATGAAAAACATGCGTAGAAAGGGCATGACCATAGCGGTACTTAGTAAGTGTCAAACCTAACCTCAGTCGGGTAGTGACGAGGAAGGTCAGGGCCCTACTGAGATTAAATAAATATAGAGATGGCATAATAAGATAAGCAGTACAATTGAGAATCTACAGTAAGAATTTAATACAAGATAATAAGGAATACAATAACTGAAACAGAGATAAAGACAATCACCAGGAAATGCCACTCATAACAAGGATGATAGCCGGGGATCTCTCAGTATCCTCAATATATATATGCCGGGGATCTCTTGGTATCCCGAGGATATCTTGGTATCCTCAATGTATACAAGGGATCTCTTGGTATCCTCAATATATGCTAGGGATCTCTTGGTATCCCGAGGATCTCTTGGTATCCTCAATATACGTGTCAGGGATCTCTTGGCATCCCGAACCTCAGTTCAAATCATAACACGTACAGGGGATCTCCCGGGAAGCCGTCCCGTAGTCCCAAAGTAAAACACACAGCAACAACACAAGAATACTCAATTAAGATCAATTTCGTACCAAGTAAAACAGGTAATTCTAATTTAACATGCTTCACATAATTCAATTAAGGCAGTTTAAGTAAATAAACAATTAAGTCAATTAGACATGCTTTTTCTAAGCTAATAGCAGGTTTAAATTGCAAGTAAGATGAAACAGGAAAAAGGAACACAATTGAAATTACTTAAAGAAAACCGGATTTTCAATAATTAGCTCAAGTACGCACTCATCACCGCACGTACAGGGTTAGACAAGCCACTTACCTCGAACCAGCTCAAAATCAACCCGAAACCATGTCTTTGCCACGAGTACTCGACTCCAAATGGCCCAAATCTATTCAATTCAATTGCATAATGTAAATAACACTTCAAGTAACTGATTCTACAATTAAATTCTAAGCTAATACGCAAAATTAGGTAAAATGACCAAAACGCCCCTCGGGTCCACGTCTCGGAATCGGGTAAAATTTACATTTCCAGAATCTTCACACTTTTACGAGTTCAGTTATACCAAAAGTACCAAAATCGGACCTCAAAGGGTCCCTCAAACCATCACTCAAAAGTCTCTAATTAGTCAAGCCCTAACCACCAATTTACCACTGATTTTTCTTAATTTTTCATGCTTAAATTGATAAGAATCATTCCAATAACAAGTTTAGGGACCAAAGACCTTACCCCAATGAACTCCTTTGAAAATCCCTCTTGAAAAGTGTTCCACAAGCTTCTTCCCGTTTGAAAAGAGATGAAAAATGGCTTAATTTCACGAAGGCAAGTATTTATATGTTTCTGCCCAGCGATTTCCGCATCTGCGGTCAAGGGAGCGCACCTGTTACCGCACCTGCAGAAGAATGAATCGCAGGTGTGAAAAGTCATTTAACGGGCTGGGTCCGCATCTGCAGTCGCTTGGCCGCATTTGCAGCATCGCATTTGCGAAAAACCCAGTCGCACCAGCTTCCGGAATTCCATTCCGACCCTCGGATCAAAATCTCACTATCGAACCGGAAACTTCAAAATTCGACTTTCTGCATTTCAAGCTTAAATTAGCTACAGACCTCCAAAACACAATCCGAACATGCCCCTAAGCCCGAAATCATCCAACCGAGCTAACGGAACCATCAGATTTCCATTTCGATGACGTCTTCACACTGTTCCGACTACGGTCAAATTTCCAACACTTAAGCTCTCATTTAGGGACTAAGTATCCCAAAATTCTCCGAAACTCAAAATCGAACATCCTGGCAAATCAAAATAGTAGAAATAAACACGGGGAAAGCAGTTAATAGGGAATCAGGGCGTAAATTCTTAAAATGACCGGCCGGGTCGTTTCATCCTCCCACACTTAAACATTTGTTCGTCCTCGAACGAGCATAGAGACATACGTGAAGTAGTGAAAGGATGAGGGTAACGGCTGCGCATATCCTACTCGGTCTCCCAAGTCGCCTCCTCGACCGGCTGACCCCGCCACTGAACCTTTACATATGCAATGTTCTTTGACCTCAGCTTCCTAACTTGCTTATCCATTATTGCCACTGGCTCCTCAACATAAGATAGATCCTTGTCCAACTGGACTTAACTGAAATCCAACACGTGCGACGAATCACCGTGATACCTCCGGAGTGTCGAAACATGAAATACCTGATGAACTCCTGCCAAGCTGGGAGGTAAGGCAAGCTCATAAGAAACCTCCCCAACACGCCTCAATATCTCAAAAGGGCCAATAAACCTCGGACTCAACTTTCCCTTCTTTCCAAATCTCATAACACCCTTCATAGGCGAAACCCGAAGTATAATCCGCTCTCCAACCATACAGGAAACATCACGAACCTTCCAGTCCACATAACTCTTCTGTCTGGACTGGACTGTACAAGGTCTATCCTGAATCACCTTGACCTTCTCCAAAGCATTCTGAACCAAGTCTGTGCCCANTGGACCAAGTATGTACCCAATAACCTAGCCCCACCCGGCTCGAACCAACCCACTGGGGACCGACACCGCTACCATACAGAGCCTCATA